TCTCGTCGCCTCCTCCCCCATCCCCCCCCCTTCCATTCTTTGTCACACCGCATTAGATTCGCTTCCGTTCCCGTCCTCGCTTCCCAACCAATTCGCGACCCATTATTGCCTCTTAAAGCCACTTCTTCGCCGCGTCTCTCCGCGCTCTCCACTCCTCATCTTCTCGCCCATCCTCCTCCGTCAATCGTCCGTCGACCCAAGAATACCTACTTACTCGCTTAAGCTCGAGCAAAAACCACCAAATTCGAGCGTTCGTATAAACCATCTTACTTTTTCCCCTCCTCCTCTTACTGTTTAAACTAAGACTAACCGTGTTATCGTAGTATACGTACACACGCGTACACGCGCGCGTGTTACTTTCCTCAACGTGACGTAAAACTGTAACGACGCATGTCGTTCGTTTACTCCTCCGACGCGTACGCATAAACTTTGGAGGAGGAACACCACCACCGTTCCCGATCACCGTTCTAACTAACCGTTAAAAACATTTCCGGATACAATAAGGCTAATATCTGCCCGTTTGTTTCTGCAACGCTGGTCGCGTGACTTTGGCGTGGCGGAACGGATCGCGACGACGAGTTTCCGGGATCGGTGAATCAGAATGGTGGTCTCGCAAAGGATTCGAGCGAAGCCAAGTGTAGGGTGGTAATCGACACGTTTCCACGCAGTGGCGTCGATTCTAGAGGAGCGTAAGGACTGCGTGCCCTACGCTGGAACGGAGACAAGGGAGGAGGACGACGTTGTTGCACGCATCATCCCTCTCCCTCTCTCTCTCTCTCTCTCTCTCTCTCTCTCTCTCTTTCTCTCTCCTTCCACCGGTTGCCTCGAGAGCAGTTACAATACTGGAAGGGAGGGTTCCGCCTGGTATCGGTGTGTGTAAACTGTTCACTTCAAAGCAAATCAGCTATCGTTACGCACGGGAGCATCGACGTCATCCGATGTCCATACCCGTTCTCGTTGTTGTTGTTGTTGTTGTTGTTGTTGTTGTTGTTGTTGTTGTTGTTATGGTCGTCGTTGCTCTCTTCGTAGTCTTAGTCGTAGTCGTAGTCGTAGTCGTAGACGTGATCGCAAGCTCTTTTGAGAAAGCTCCGTGTTTCTTTGCGCCGCGGACAGATACCTCCGATGTAGGATATGTTAGTCACGGATTATCGATCCGTGACGAGGGATGAATCTAATACGAGTAATTATAGGACGCGCGAGCCTGTATTGTCGCCGAGCATTGCGTCAATAATCTTTGAGGGGATCGTCAACCGTGAACGTGTGCCTAATGAACGGTTATCATTCCACCGAGCTTTTTCGATTCAGGCCTCTATATATTTCAACGCGAACCTTGACATTTACGAAACCACGGATTTGCCTCGTAGGTTTCGCAGGTTTAAAAATCTCTCTCTCCGAGATCCGGAGAGATGTTTTAGCGTCGAGCAATAGTAGATGTAGTAATCCTCGCGCTAAGACTCCTCCCGGCCGATAGCGTGACGAGCGCGCACGAAACGGGGGAGAGAGCGAGAGAGGGAGGGGGCGTGGGGGGTTGAAACGCGGCAAACTCCCTTGGGTCCCAATTACACCGACACCCGATCCTGGCATTACGGGCCGGCTAATTCGAGGGAGGGCGAGGAAGGAGCGTCGCGTGTATAAATCTCGGTAGGTAGGTTGGTTGATTGTGCAGTTTCAATTCCGTTTGTCGCCACCATCGCGCTTCGTTACCGACGAAACGAGAGACCGTGCTCGCCCTTCTCGATCGGCCTCCCCTTCGTGTTTTTCTCGCGCCAGAATCCATCGCGGAGAAAAGCGTTTCGCGCGGGTCCAAGGTTAGACGAACGCGAAACCGACGAGCGGAGAGAGAGAGAGAGAGAGAGAAAAAGAGAGAGAGAGAGAGAGGGGGAGGGGCCACGAAAGGGTGGGCGGCGGTGAGTTTCGAAGCTGCGACAAAAGGATCGGGTAATTACGGGGAGGCCGCAAATTCCCGTGAAGCTGAGGCAAAGGCAGCTGTCGGCTCCCAAGCCGATCTCCGCCGCGGCTTTGCGCCAACGTTTATACGCGCGGCCAGGCCTTTTTGCGCCGGCAGCTCGGTTGACGCGAGACGACGTCGGCCAGAATTTCCGCCCGCGGATCCAATCCAGAGCCACGTCGCTCTCGTTCCGCTCTCTCTCTCTCTCTCTTCTATTTGTTATCCCAGCCTCCCTCCACCACCAATCAGCTGGGAGCCCTGCGGTATCTTTGCTCCGCTTCGATCGCGCTCCTTCGATCTCCTCTCCTCCCTTCGTCCTCCTCTTCCGTCTCGAAAAACCGTGCGATTAAACGACTCTCTTCTCGAAATCCGGTTCCCGTAAATTACGGAGACAACGTGGGAAACGTTTCTCCGCGTTTCTTCCGCGAGAGGGGGGGGAAAAAAAACGCACCTCGTTTTCCTCTCGTGCACACTCGTGGCGTGGGCAAACAAACTTTCTCTCCCTCCCTCTCCCTCTCTCTCTCTCTCTCTCTCGGTCTTTTCCAAATAAAGAGTGGAATATCGGAGCGAGCGGGAAAATCGTCGAGGATCGAGATGTTGGTCGGTGGAATCGGTCGTCGAAGAAACGGTACGACGTCGCAAAGGTCGTCTTCGTTGTTCGACGCGTGTACCCATTACAAATCCCTTCGGAAGGAGGCACCGCGACTCCTCTACCAACCCCTGCCAGGATAATAGCGAGCTGCTCGGTCCGCGGGGGGTCCAAGATTTCGACCTTTACCGAAATGCCAACCGGCGAGGAGGGGAGCGGCTTTAAACGGGCTAATAACGCCGCGCCCTCCCTCCGCCCTTCGATTCCTCCCTTACCGCACAAATTGCCTAGGCAGCAAGGCCGTAAAAATTGATAAAGACATCGCGTCGATTCCTTCGTTTCCTCTCTCTCTCTCTCTCTTTGTCGCGCCCAGTTCTCGAGCTCGAACGAAAGGAAAACGCTTGCTTGTTTCATTCGCGGTTTGGTCATTAGCCGGATGAGAGAGGATGGTCTTAGGCGAGCGGTTTCGAGTCAATATTCTCGGATGATCGATCATCCGGCCGGAACCGCGGGAGGCCTCGCGCAAATTAAGTATCGCCTTACGTTGGCCGCCGCCTTTAAGAATCGTCGAAAAATACGAGGGAAACACGGGGTGGATGGAAACACGGTCGGTGCGTGGCATCGATCATCCGCGTATAAACGTGCGGAACTGTCGATGGAGGGGGGACGGAGGAGGAGGGTGGAAGGAAAAGTTTCGCCTCGGAAAGATAAAGGTTTCTATAGTCGGAGGAGAAGAGGGAGGGGGGAAGGGGGAGGGGTTGGTGGACTATTTCCTATATTTGCGATATCATAGAACTCGCTTGACATTATGGGTGGCGTCGGGGGTGGCGCCGAGGGATGGATGGGCTATTCCGTGAGACCGGCTGTCATATTCATGTATTGACACTGAGCTGGTTGACTAATGGACTGGTGTTGTCACAGTGTCGTGTTACCGCGAGGGCCGGGCCCCCTTGCAACTCGTTTTTCCTGCGAATCGACCGAAACGCCGCGACGACTTTGTCCACGCGTTTGATTCGCCCGCGTTCGGGCGAAGGGAGAATCATCGACGTGGCGAAAGAAGCGAAAGGGGAGAGGGGGGAGTGGTGGACGGGGGAAATAGGAAGAAAACAAAAAATATATATATATATCGGTTCGATCGAGCCGGTGGACGGATCGACGCGGCGAGAACGCGCGCGTCGGATAGGGAGTTTTTTTTTTTTTTTTTTTTTCTTTTTTTCTTTTTTCCTTTTTTTCTTTTTTTCTTTTTTTTTTTTTTTTTGATACGGATCGCAATATAGCGAGGATCGCGCGCGCACGTCCGCCCCGAAGCACGCGGATATTCCTGTCGGTCTTCTCGACTTTTACATATTTATCGCGTCTCGCATTGTGCTCGCGTCAGCCGGGACGCCGACATCTTTTGCCAGGAAAATCCGCGATATTGAATTTGCCCGCCACCCTTCCGCCGTTTTCCGTCCACCTCCCCCTCTCTTCCCAGCCCGTTCCTTTCGTCCACGACCGCCGAATCGATGATTCGTTCGCGAACGAACGTTCGTGGTCGAAAAGAGTGAAAAAAAAAAAAAAAAAAAATAGAAAAAGAGAGAGAGAAAACGCTCTCGCGCGTGGTTCCTCGCGTCGTTGCCCTCTTCCTCGTTCCCCTCGGAGAGGGGGAGCGGTAACGGGAGCCTCGAAATCTCTCGGCCGGGATCTCGATCCTCGATCCTCCCTGAGCCGCGTCACAATAGGGGAGGGGGCAGAGAGACCGCTTCTGCGTGCTCGTTTTTTTCTTTTTTCTCTCCTTTTTTGTTTTCGGCGCGAGGCGAAAAAACGAGGGAAAGAGAAAGAAGACGGGCGGACAAAGGGGTGTGGGTGTCGATCGAGGCAGGATCGAATAATAGTAGTGGTGGTGGTGGTGATAGTAGGAGGTGGTCAAAGAGAAGCGGAGCCCGTAAACGCGAGACGACTATTCTATTACGGACTGACATTCGATACAAACTTGGTCGAGCGATCACGGCCTTTGCCATGCTCCTTCCACGTTTCCTTCCTTCCTTCCTTCCTTCCTCTACCCCTGCGTTTCTACCCTTGGTACTCCATTAAAGTCGCGAAACAGCCGGGACGAATCCTCGGCGAGAGAGAGGAAAGAGAGAGAGAGAGAGAGAGAGAGAGAGACTAGCCGTGACTCGTAGGCTAGAGGGTCCTTCGAGGCTGGATAATAGGATACGGTGAGAGACTTTATAGCCGCGTGTCTCTTCGCGACCGCTTTGATTTATCGCGGAGTTAAATGGCTCGACGCTGTTACGCCCTTTCTCTGGGAACCTCTCTCCTCCTCGCGGATGAGGGTACGACGCGAGGCGAGCGTATGGTAACACGCCTAGATTCGTCGTAAACGCGCGTCCGTTTGGTCGATTTGGGACAGGCATCCGTGAACGATATGGAATTTCGCGCAAACTTTCATATCGGTCTCGAGCATCTATCGACTCCACTCACCTCGAACCTTCTGCTCGTCCTGAAGCTGTCGCTCGAGGCTGTCCTTAACCTCCCTCTCTCGGAGAACGTCCATCTTCAACTCGGCTGTAATCAGAAAGATAAAAAGGAATCTTAACGTGGAGTGTCTCTAAAGCGGACTTTAGTTAAGGATTTAGTTAGGAACTCTCTCTCTCTCTCCTCTCCTCTCTCCTCGAATTCTCCTCCCCTTCCTCCTTTGGAAGATGGCATAGGAGAAGAATATTGCACGGTCTGGCGGGTTCGTGATTAAATCCAACGGGCGAGGACCGGACCGGATAGTTAGCTCTAATAGAATTACGTGGAAACGCACCACGAGGAGGAGAGAAATCCTCGACCGCCGTTGCGTTCTCCGCTCTTGTCTCCAAGACGCTCGCCCCTTTCTCCGTCTTCTCGGCTACAACAACCCCCCTTCTCTCACCCTTGGGACTCGCCACGCTAAATTAGCCATTTCGAATCTCGGCGAGAGGCTGATGGAGTGGTGGAGAGAGAGAGAGAGAGACAGAAATTCTCCTTCGTTGAGAAATTCCCTGTTCCGACTTTCGTCTTCCTCCCCCCCGATTCGGATTTTCGGTTTAAGAAAAGCCGCGGAAAGAAGCGTGGCCGACTGTATACGGCTCGATTATCGACGTTCACTTGACGACGCTTCCCTTGGGAGTGGGGAGTATCGATGAAAAAGGGAGAGAAGTCGGTAAAAAACGTTGCCAGCCTCTCTAAATCAAGCGGGCTAATTCGGTTTAACGGAAGAAAAGAAAGAGGGAGGGAGAAAGCCACCCTCTCTCTGCTCCTCGAATTACATTTCCGTGGCCAATGAGCCGCGCGCCTCGTAACGCGTCTCGCGGCTCATCGACCGATAATCCGCTCGTTAGATCGCTACCAATTTGCCGACATTTCGCAAGGATCGTTCTTTCTCGCGATTTCTCGAAAGCGATGAAAACCAACTCCCTTCGCCAACTACTACTTCGACGAAACGACCTAATCCAACCGGGCGGGGGGAGGAGAGAGAAAGCTAATTCCAACGTTTCAAGCTTCCACCCTTCGCCAAACGTAACCGTATCGAAATACCGCCGCGTCCGTTCCAAATTTAATATCTCTCTATTCCCTTCTTCCTCCTCCTCCTCCTCCTCTTTCTCCCCCTCTTCCTCCCCCTCGACGACGAATCGTCTCGAAATACGAAAAGTGGCGTGGCGATAGTTGGTCGCCCCGAATTCGAAATTTCGAATTTGGAAGGGGTAGGGCGAGGGGAGGGGGAGATGAGGCGCGCGGGAGAATGGAGCCCGGTAGATTAGGGGTAGGGTAGAGGGGTGGCGCGTCTCAGCAGTCTGCCGGCAATTTGAGAGCGTTTGCGAGGTCCATTAACGGCGGTAACTCTTCACGACCGGCCGCCACGAAGATTCAATTTGAATGCTAACCAGAATAGGAAGTTCGCGCCGGTGCCGTGTACACGTTACGCGGCCCCTCTCCCCTTCCTGCCACCCTTTCCTGCCCCTTCCCCACCCTGTTATTGCCAATTTCGGCGCGTTTCTGCAGCCCACTTTGCGATCGTTTAGATTATCATCTCTCCCGGTTTCTCTTTCTCTCGGCCTCGACGTCTAGGGTATCCCGGCCCCGCTCGCTTTCTACACGGCTCGTCTACCTTTCCCCTCCCCTCCGGTACCTAACGTTTTCCGGGGGGATAATTGAACTTTATTAGAGATCGTCGTCGACGCGAGCGTCAACCCTGCCTCGCTCATCCCCGGGGCGCCGATTCGAATCGACCTGGGTTTAACGATTACATACCCTCTTGTCTCCTTCCTTGTCTTCTCCCCCTCCTTCCTCCCCTGTTTACGCTTTCATCGACGGGGCTCCCTTTTAAATACAACCGTTCCACCTTTACATATTTTCGAGGGAAACGGGATAAAGTCGGAAGTGGCGAAAATCAATTCCTCGAGAAGGCGGCGGAGGAGAGGAGAGAGAGAGAGAGAGAGAGAGGGAGGGAGGGGTTGCTGCCGTTGCCGCTGCTACGAGCTTATTGAAATTCGACCGCGAGCTCGGAGCCATTAAAATTTCAGGGATTAACGTTGGCCGCGACGAACTTCTTCCTCGTAGTAAGTGAGTGAGTGAGTGAGTGAGTGAGTGAGGGAAAACTCTTCCTCTTCTTTCTCCCTTTCGACGATACCTCTATCTAAGAATCGCAACCTATATCTTCGGGGGCGACGATCGTTTCGATATCATCGCCTGGTTATCGTTCGAAAATTGGAAATTGGAAAATAGTCGGGAGGGCGGACGAGTGGAAGGTTTGGAAGGATTATCGGAGGTGCCGGGCGAAGGATTCATCGGCGATAATAATATTCACGGTAGCCGGAGCACTCTGGCCCGGCAACAATAACAGTGCAACGGAACGTGCATGCCACTGTTACCGGAGCGATTCATGGTTATTGATTAGTATATAGTTGGCGGGAAGACGGGTGGTGGTGGTGGTGGCGGTGTAGCGTTCACATCCCCGCAGGGCTTGTACGACGACGTGTACGCGTGGTATAGCTTCTGCGCGGCGCTAAGATATTCGCCAGGGCCCGAGGCCACCCTCAGAAACAACAATGTCAACTTACCCGCTGCGCCGTGCCCTGCAATCGTTTGAATAGTATAATGTAGCTTTCGTGTTACGGCCCCCTCCCCGACACGCGCCCGTCCCTATACATACGCTACCTATATACATACCCTTACGCGATCTTCTCGCGTAACCAACCCCCGTTCTTTTTCTTCTTATTCTTCCTATTTCGATCGAGAGAGAGGATCGGTGAATTTAATTTCGACGGCGCGGTAACGATAAACCGAGGCTCGGAATTAACCGACGGATTATTTCGGCAATTTACAACAACCCCTCGCGCGTTCGCGCTTTCCTTCGCTCGTCTTCCTTCCTTTCCGCGAGGAAAGAGGAATCTCGGCATTTCCTTCGTTTCCGGCGCGCGAATTTCATAATAAATTTCCTGACCCCCGAATCCCGATTAATCCCACGGCACGCGTTATTCGCCCACGCGAGGGTGGCGTTTCCTCGGCCGGAGGGCGGGCGGATGGAGGAGAAGTATCCCGAGATACGACGATATTATTGTTTCCACCCTTGCATATTATAAACGCGTAACGATCGCGGCGCTCGCAAGTTTGTCCTCTCCCGCGGGCATGCCCTCTCCGCGGCGGGGCTTTAATTGTCCGAGGGGGTGGGAACGGGCGTTCCTCGGGAGAGCTCGGCGCGGGCGGAAGGCGAGGACGGCGGAGCGGCGTCCGTTCGAGGGACGAGGGATCCCCGGACGATCGATGGAGACGAGGACAAGACGCGGCAAGACGCGAGACTTTGCTCGAGCGTAAAGACGGCGACGGGGGCAATAGTTATCCTGCGCGGATTACTCGATCCTCGGCTACGGTCTACAAGGGTTTCCCTCCTACAGGATTTAAGACGGACTTAGGCCTTGTTCCGGTCGCTGACCACTTTGCTTCCCATTAACCATTAACGGATCCAACGAAAATAGGATTAGATAGGAGAGAGCGCTAGTCGGAGCGGACGACTAAAACAAACCCGCGTCGGGTTTCTTCGCCGAAAAGGCGCGATCGCGGATTATCCGCGCAACTTGTACCTCTTCTTCTTCTTCTTCTTCTTTTTTTCCTCCTTCACGCGTTGGTAAATAAAGAAGGGACGAGGAACCCGTGTTCGGCGAAGAGTTTGACGTGTAATTACGGCCACGAAGTTTACGAATGTCGCAGAGTTTACGAGCGTGTGCGGCCATCGATCGAAATGACTTATCTTCGAGTCATGGCAAATATTGGTGCATGTGTCTTCCTCTCGATGCTTTCCCATTCCAGGCCAACTCCCTCCCTTTCCGTTCCTATAATTACGCTATCGAACAGTCCGAGGCGTCGTCATTTTATAGTACGCAATACGAACGACGAGTATTGCGAGCGTGTTCCTATTATCGATTCGAAGCTTCGACCCAGCCTTCTTCCTCTTAACTAATCCTTTTCGCGCGCCAACAACAATCGAGACACGCTCTTAACAGCCGCCCCCCTCCCTACTACTGCTACAACTTTGCAACTTTCTCTGTCTCTCGAGTTTCGAGATAAGGAAAGTAGACGATCGAAAGGAGGATACCGAAGGCAGATGGAACTCGGCGGGCTCCTACGTCACGGCCGATCGTAGATGAATAGTTTCGATATCTCTCGTTTCGCGGTCGAGAGAGAGAGAGAAAGAGGACGCGGGACTTCGGTGGCCATATTCGACGAACCAACTCGGCCGGAGATACGGCGAAGAGCGTTTTCGCGTTTCGAGATAATCCTTTCTTCCTTCCTTCCTTCGGGAACAGACACACTCTCTCTCTTTTTCTCTTCCTCCCTCCCTCTCCCTCTCCGGGATATCTCGCCGAGTTATTGCACGACCGTCGCTTAGAAACCGCCGCTTCTACGATATCGCCGAGCCTTCGACCCGGTACAACAACCATCCTCCTCGTTTTTCCTCCTCCGTGAACGAATCTTTACGAAACTTTACCTGGAAAATCGAGTACCCCTCGAGAATAAAGATACGGATGTCAAACGTATAACGATACTTAATGATCCAATAATTAACGGGACTCAAATATAATAAGAACTCGAAAGAAATAAAGTCGAAAGAAAAAGAGAGAGAGAGAAAAAGAGGAAAAGATAATTTTAGCAGGTCAATCGAAGCCAATCGAATCGATCCCGCGCACTCTCGCACTTGAACCACCGCGTGCGTAATCGCCCTGGTCCCGCCTTTTCCTCCTCCCCCTCTAACGACGACGACTACGACTACGACTACGAGGACGTGCCGTTGGATCTTTATCGTTATTACGAGTGTCTGTCCAACTGTACGGTACGTGGCGTGCGTGCTAGACCGCCCGTGCACACCGCCGGACATTAATGGTTACCGATCGTAAAACGTTCACCGCCAACAACAACAACAAGAAGAAGAAGAAGAAGAAGAAGAAAAAAGAAGAAGAATCTTCGCTATATTTATCGAATAACCCGTCGACGACCCGTCCGTCTCTCTTCTTAACGATCGATCCTTCCTCCTCCTCCTCCTCCCA